GGGTTTTGTTATGTTTTAAAAAAAAAAAAAAAAAAATATATATATATATATATATATATATATATATTGTAAACAGTGTAATAATTACCAAACCACGCTGTAATATCTGTGGGCAAGTTGTATAAAAAATACAGAACATAAAACTGAATTTACAACATTTATAAAACAAAAAGTATTATTATCCTGAGAATACAGTTATTTGAGTTTAAAGCGGTTTTAACATGCTTGAAACCTACGTACAAAACCATAGCTTTTGCCTTTAGATTTTAACTCGAAACATTACAGATACAACAATTGCCGTTATAGTCCTTTGAGATATCTGATGTATTTACATTTGTGACTGTATGTGCAATCAGCTGCATCTGCATTTGTAAAGGTGTCACCCAAATGGCCCATGCAGCCAAACGGCCCATGTACAGGGAAATTACCAATGCAATTAGAATTTCTAAGGGATTGTTTGCGGTGTCTCCAGTGGGACGTCCTAACAGTACAATGTCTATTGTTTGAAACACATTTATTTAAAAAAATAAAGTTCCGTTCAGACAGTATTTGGGTTAAGATTCTTGGAAGACTCGCATGCTAACATCATTGCCGAAGAACTGTGCTATAATAATACCTTGAATAAATTCTTCTCCACAACTTTGGTCAAGCTTCCTGATTTTATGTATTAGAAGAATACATTGCTGAAGCACGCAAAAACTACCGAGTCAAATACAGCAGTCAAATATACATGGCAACTCCCTGCTGGAAAAAAAAGAAATAGAAACCATCACATAAATTCTAATGTTTTTCACTACAGATACCATCACAAACCATTAACTGTTAACCATTGAAACCATTAACTAATGTTTTCCAATAGCAGTATTACCAAGTTTGCAGTTTTCCATCACAATTGGGATACTTGTAAACTGTTGCCACAAGCTGAACTTTTTTTTTCTCCCTGGTTTAAAGTATTGCAATATTGTGTACACTATCATAGCCCAAACTGCATGTTTTGAATATTTTACATTCTACCAATGATAAAACTGTGCTACTTTATGAGTTTTGTGAGAGAATGGCCTTTGAGCTCCTTTGTGATTACACAAAGTTATGATTACTACTAGTGATTTTCAAGTTGAAGTTGTGTTTAACACCAGTGACTGTAAATTGTGTATTTTAGGATTGGGAGTGGCAGGTGTTGAGTTTTACAATTTGGATAGGGTTGTTGGGCTTGTTTTGGGCTATTTATGATTGGCCTTTGGGCTGGGTTTGTTAACACAGACCTGGCAAACCTGTCCAATAGTGTATTTTGGGCCATGTTAGGATTTATAGAATATTATACATAAAATGTATTATATATTTTTTATATATGATATTTTGATCTCCTTAAAATAAGTAAACTTAACCAGGAGAATAATTTACTGAAGGTAGTACAACACAGTTCTTCAGTAGATGTTATGTTGGCCTTCCCTCTCTGTGGGACAGAACTTTATGCATGAAGACAAAAGGGCTACAAACAATACTGTTAAGACCCCACTTGAGACCCCTTAGAAATTGTAATTGTATTGGCCATTTGGGTCACAGACAGGGTTTCAGTTGATTGCATCTGAGGCACAGTCACAATGTAAACGCATAACGTTAGGGGGAATTCAGGTGGATTGAAACACTTTTTCCAGTCATGAACTTGCATTGATATAATTAATATGCCTTAGACGTTCTTCATGTTTTGAGCAATTGGCTGTTCGCTGCAGAATGTGACACTTTTGGATAATGTTTATAGCACATGTTGTGAACCTGCTGAACCAGGTTTGATTTGTTTGGTTTGAAATCTACTCTGAAACTTTTGTTCAGCTACCTTTGTGTAAAAGGCCTCAACCTCCAGGGGTTTTCAAATCATTCCTCAAGTCCCTCCAGCACTGGATGTCTCTCATGTTAAACCCAGCTGAATGAACTCATCAGCTCATCTGTGCTAGTAGTGAGGAGGCTCCACTAATGGTTTGAAAACCCTTCTGATGTATTGGAAATCTCCCCTATATGCCTTCATTCACTATTCCCACATTTGTCTAATATTGAAGGAGTGAATGAAAACAAATGAAATAATTTGGACACCATATGAGCCGGAAGGGATGAGACTTTTTGTGTGTAGCCTGTGTCTGCTGTTATTTGATTAATTTATGTATTTTTTTTATTGTTTGTCTCCATATTTTATGTTGCAACCATAAGCATGCATGCATGCATATATATATATATATATTTTTTTTTTATGTAAAAAAACTTTTATTTTGGATGTGATTCATTTGACACCACTAATATATATGTAAATTATATTAAATTAAATATGAAATTAATGTTCTGCTTTTTTTTTTTCTCAAATACAAACCACTCACCTTAAAGGGCTAGTTCACCCAAAAATTAAAATTACCCTATGATTTTATTCACCCTCAAGCCATCCTAGATGTATATGACTTCTCTTTCAGATGAATCCAATCGGAATTATATTTTAAAATGTCCTGGCTTTTCCAAGCTTTATAATGGCAGTGAATGAGTGTTATTTTTCAATAATCCAAAAGAAGTCCAATAAAGTGCATCCATCCGTAATAAAAAAGTGCCTCACACGGCTTTGGGGAGTGATTAAAGGCCTCCTGTAGCGAATCCATGCGTTTTTGTAAGATAAATATCCACATTTAAAACTTTATAAACACTAATCTCCAACTTCCGCTAACTGTTGATGCACGTTCACAATAGAATGCCGTTCTGGTGGATGACATAGGTGTAGCGACATAAGTTTTGCGAGAACCAACGTTTGTTTACAGGAGCAAAAGAAGCAAAGTTTCTTTACTTTAGCAAAGAAAAACCAGTCTCCTCTTGGCTTATATCATAATCCTCCGACATTTGTCTTTACAAATCCTTGTTTTTTTACTTCTAATTCGTGACCATTGTTTTGTTTTGCTCTCTCCTGTGCGCTTCCGCGTTCGTCACTTCTCACATACGCTAAGCCGACATCCTATACATAATCTGCTGGAACGACGTTCTATTGTGAATGCGTGTACGACGGTTAGTGGAAGTTAAGACATTAGTGTTTATAAAGTTTTAATTATGGATATTTTCCTTACAAAAACACATTGATTTACTACAAGAGGCCTTAATTCACCCCACGAAGCCGTGTGAGGCACTTGGATTGCTGCGCTTTATTGGACTTATTTTGGACTGTTGAAAAATAATACCCATTCACTGCCAATATAAAGCTTGGAAGAGGCGGGACATTTTTAAATATAACTCCGATTGGATTTGTCAGGAAGAAGAAAGTCATATACACCTAGGATGGCTTTAGGGTGAGTAAATTATGTGGTAATTTTCATTTTTGGGTGAACTGTCCCTTTAAGGGAACACTGGTCATTTAGAGTCTACATATGAAAATATTAGGCCTAACTGATGTTTCAGCAGTGCTGATTTTTCAGTTGTCTACCACTAGGTGTCAGATTTACTAGTCTGACTATTCCTGCCATAGAAAGGTATGGTAAAAATAATAAAGAGTATTGTGTTATTTTCCATAATTGCAAAATGACATCAATATCATCTTTCTAACAACTCAGTGGTACAGTATGCCATGCTGAAACATTCAAATAAAAGTAATGTGTAACGCATATTACGGATTTATTATTATTATTATTTTTTTTTTTTTTACATTGTGTTTTTCAGTTTCATTCAGTGATTCTGCATGTCTAATAAGACTGGCCACAATTGAGTAGCCAACATTATGGTTTCCTACATTAAACATTTGCACCTAATACATAAAGACATGCACAAACACAGATATGTTCTACATAATTAAAATTGTGTAAGATGACTCCCCACACCTTACATTTTTCTCATAGATGGCACAAAATCACATCTCAGCAACATTTGATAAATGCATACACTCTTCTTAATTTTATTTCATTTGAATATCAACATTTTAAGATTTACTTAAAGCAGTTGTAAGGTTAACTGATCTAATTTTGTCTGAAAGAAGAAAGTCATATACACCTAGGGTGAGTAAATTATGTGGTAATTTTCATTTTTGGGTGAACTGTCCCTTTAAGGGAACACTGGTCATTTAGAGTCTACATATGAAAATATTAGGCCTAACTGATGTTTCAGCAGTGCTGATTTTTCAGTTGTCTACCACTAGGTGTCAGATTTACTAGTCTGACTATTCCTGCCATAGAAAGGTATGGTAAAAATAATAAAGAGTATTGTGCTAGTATGCGGTTCCAAATTCAGCATGAATCTCATCAAAAATGTATTCAGAATCCATATAACAACAAAAGTGATCAAGTTAATTCTGCTATTGTGCAGAACTTTGAGGATTCCATACGTGTATGGGAAGATAATTATTAGCAAATATATAAAAATCAGCCTG